GAAAAAAGAGGCTGATGCAGACGCAGGCCAGATCGTAATGGAAGGAAATCAATCCCTGTCCTTATTTTTCTATCTACGTTGAAACAGGTATATGCATGATCTTGTGTTACGGTATACAAGGCAAGTAAATTGAACAAGGATGCATCGTTTGTATTTGTGTATCTTCATTTATCTGTTTTTTTTTGTGTGTGGTTCCCGCTTGTAGTTCCGTTCTCTTGTCGCACACTGGTAATGCTGGGATTAGATAGGACAAGAGAGGGGGCTCGAACTCGAAGTCGAACGCGAACTCAAATGTGGGCTCGGGTAAAGGCAGGCAGCTGGAAAGAAAGAGCGCGACGCCACATATCGCACACTATATATCATCCAAGAGTGAAAACAGGCGATGAAAGAGAATGAGAAAACAAGTGAGATGGAAGAAGAAGTAACAAAAGTGGGTAAAAAAGGTAGATAAGACATAAGTGGTGGACAATATAATATACTGCAATGAAGACATAGACGAAAGGAAAAAGGAAATAATAAAAGTGGTAGAAGAGGTAGAGGGAAATAATCATGGTATAATGAGGTAGTACAGTGCGGGGGAATGAGTAGGACAGATCATATCATGACGCTTCATCTGCCGTTCCGTTTGGTAGGGCAGCAGCGCTGTCGTGGTTGGGGTTCTGGTCATCGTTTGAGGTCCCAGCTGGGGCTTGATGCTCAGCACCAGTCCCTTCTGGCGCGGTCGAGGTTTCCATCTCGCCCTTGATAGTTGCATCCTGGGCAGAGGGCTCGTCCGCTGAAGCGGCCGTAAACAACGATCCGTTCGACGGCTTGGTACCATCTACTCCAACGGCGGCGGCATCGTCTCCTTCAGCTGTCGCGTCAGGAGCGCCCAGGCTAGGCCCATTCTTCTTGAGTTTCTTTTTACTCGGCTCCGATGTCCCAGACTTAGCGCCCGACTGCCCCGATGCGGAGGGTGGGAGGGTTCGCTTCTGGGGACTGGTGGTCACGCCTGAAGGAGCGGAAGGCGGCGGGATCTTGCCAGACGCGGGCAGACGGGGTCGCGCGGCCATGGGTCGTTGTTTCGGTGGTAGTTCAAGATCTTCGACCAAAGGCTCATTGTTGTTTGCTTGGAGCTTAGAGCTGAAGAATTCTTGAACCAACCCGATTTGCAAAGCGAGAGAGTCATTGGTGATGCGAGGGTAGGGAGCGGGCGGGGGGAAGAGAGTGACGGCTTGGGCAGCACTGCAAAAACCCATCAGTATCAAGCAAGTAATAGTCGATACAATAAGAGAAACATACCTGGTGTTCTGTGCCTGCGCAGCGTTGTACATCCTGTTCTGCAAGAGATGAAGTGGCACGCTAAGTGTGGCCAGACCAAACTCCTTGTCCAGCCCCAATTCCTTAAAACCGAAGAAGTCCTCATCGATATCTTCTGCAAAGTCACCGCCGATGAACTGTTCACTGCCATCGTGGAATGCGTTGGAGCCATCCTCCCCGCCATCTGCAAGCGCAGGTCGCAGGAGCTCGGACAGCAGAGAGCGCAGCCGGTCATGAGCTGTCGAAAGCTTCGTCCCGAGCCGCTCCACATCGTCCTTAATGTACGACTCCAAAGACTCTACATCGATGCCAACAGATGAGAGAGTGTGTAGTACGATCTCCGGCTCCGTGTACGCTCGCTTCCACTGAGCTGTACCCGTCGCCTCGGTCGCCTCGGTCGTCGGGACTTTCGGGGATTCCATGTACGACTTCAGGGTTTCGCCGATCTTCTGGAAGAAGTCGGAGGCAATATCAGTCACTGCATCCAGGGCCGAAGGCTGATACTCCTCAAAGCCAGTGTGGTAGAAGATCTTCGCCACGGAACGCTGCATGGCCGCTTTGCAAACCCAAGGAGCAATGACAGGACCCCCGTCATTCATCACATGTGGTGACACATCCTGCTCGACGAAGGGTTCCGGCTGGTATTTCTGGAACTGATTCTGGTACATCTTTGGAGGGTTAGACAAGGGAAATTATGATTCGAGATATCGCTTACCTGAGACTGCAGTTGCATCTGTTTGACGATGCCGATCTTCGAGCAGACCTTTCGCGTCTCCTGCATTTGGCGCATGTTTGCATCCATTTTGCGGGCCAGCTTACTATCTGGTTGAGTGAATGAGCCTTGCGGGAGGATCCTCAAAAACTCTTCGGACGCATCCACAATGTTGCCGTCCGAGTCTTCCTTCCAGAGTAGCTGAGAGGGTAGATCGGGAACCCCTGACATGACATCGTAATAGTCGGGGATCACTCGATCCTCATCCACTTCAATGCCCTCTGCGAGCGTTTCACCCGCGGCGCCAGGTTCCATGCCTTGTCCTGTTGACTCGCGCGCCTTGTCGTTCTCTGCAAGATTATGCTTTTGGTTTCTGATCCACCGCCGCATGCCCGCTTTAGTACGGAGCAATGCTGGCTCATCAGAGTTGAGCTTGTCACCTTTGAAGAGACGATGCCTCTCTGCGGCAATGAGGGCGCGATCCTTCTTCGTCACCTGTTTCCATACTTTGTATTCGGGATCTTCAGAATCCACACCAGACGCGGGCAACGCGCTCAGCGCGGTGCTTGTCGGGACTAACCCATCAATGTCCATAGCATCACCTTGGCTTCCAGGTACACCAGAGCTGACGCCCGCAGGGTCAGATGGCGTTTGTGTGCCAGGCGGCGGCGTTACAAGCCCGTTCTGAGTCCCCTCCATCACAACATCAGAATCCGAACGGACCGGCCCCGGAGGCTGAGAGCTCTGACCAGGAGGCTCCGATCCGCTGGGAGTATTTCGAACAGGCGCAGTGCCTTTCTTCGATGATGACTTGCCGGGGGCCTTGCGACCACGGGACGACATGATCGGTTCGTCGTCACTCTCTTCGGCGCCGTCCATTTCAGCCATCTGCAGTCGGCGCTCTTCTGCTTCGACCTCGGCGCGGTCTCGGATGACGATGTCTGGTATCAGAGGGACGAGCTTCTCCGTCTCCTTCTTCATGTATAAAGCATGCTTGCGCAAGAAGTGTTCTGGGTTGGTGTTGTATTTGAAGCAATTCGACCAAATTAAATTGATGTCATCGACAAATTCCTGCTTCGACTTGTATTGCAGCGCTTTCAGCTTCTTCGTCATGGTTCCTAGATCCATCGGATGTTTGATAACTAGCGCAGGGAGTCAGCAACGAGACACACGGCGTGGTTCTTCGTCCGTCAGGGTATCTTACTTGTATAGTAGTCAGGCGCATCGCGCTTATTCACCCGAGTCAAGAAGGCGCTTGAATGCTCAGTCATCGCCTTGAGCTCACTAAGCACTTTCTCTGCAGCTTCATACAGCTCTTCTTGGCCAATCTTGTCCTCACTAGCCCACTTACTACGGTTCTTACGAACCTCGCTCATCAGGCTTCGGAGTTCCGCGTCAGATGCTTGGACCAAACTCCGCTTCATGTCAATTCTTGCGATCAGGTTCTTGAGGGTCAGGCTCGAGGCGCCCAGGTTCGCGTTACTCAGCGACCCATATCCATTGGAGGTTGGGTTCGCATTGTTGCCCGCATTCGCCTGGCCCGACATTTCCGCTTCTACCTGTCGCTCCGACTCTTCTAGCCGCTGCTGGTCCAACATGGCATCTCTATCATTCTCTAAAGTATAAAAGAGTGTGTGGAAACTTTTCCTAGCAGCTTCCTCGGTCGCCTTCTTATCTTCCTCTAGCTTCTTGCGGATATCCTCCAAGGTCTCCTTCTTGGCCTCCTTCTGCGCATCGGGCCCGACCGACACGGAGCCGCTGGGCGGTCGGCTGGGCGATGGGAAGCTACTAGGTAGCTGAGAGGCAGCGAGAGACTTGGGCTTGGGAGGAGATGCGGCTTCAGTATCCTCAGCGTCATCTTCGTCGTCATACTCATCGTAGTCATCGTCATCTAACTTCCTGGCGGGCTTCTTGGGGGGCGCCGGGGCCGGAGCGGGTTCGTCGGCGCGTTGGCTCTCGGGTTGGGACTCGTCGGAATCGTTGGCAGGGCGGGCATCTTCGGCAGCTTTCTGGTTGGCAAAGAGAGCATTTATTTGCGCCTCACTGCGTTTGTACAGATCCCGGAACATGGCGATGCGCGGGTCCTCGTCGCCTGCAATATCGGCATCTGATATCAGACCGCCCGCGTGAGACCCGTCGGCGTCGGCCGAAGCGCGCATCTGGGGAGTTCGCGAACCGGAAAAAGATTTGGGATAGCCATTGACAGACCGCGCATCATGGAAATCATCCGGCGGGCGCAGATGACCTGGGGGGAGCCAGGCGTGGTGGTGTCCGAGCGACATGCTCGCTCCAAGACCCCGGTTCTGGGGCGGGCGAGGGGGGCTCGTTTCTCCACGGTCCGGATCAGTTCCAGCTAAGGTACAAGGGAGCCTTTTGAGACGCTGAAAAAGACATATACATTAGGGGACAGGGGTCAAGAAATGAGGGACGATGATTTGGAGACCCCAAGTGATGGAATAGTGGGGGGATTTGATGGGGGACTGGAGGGCTTCTTTATAAGGTTCTCTGCGCGAACGGATGAGATGAAGTTGGTTGCGTGAAGTCGGAACGGCGACCGCAGCTTCAGACCAACCGCGCAATTCGTTGACTCCAGCAGCAGCAAAGCAACTAACAGAGTTAACTAGTAGTAGTAGGTAGTTGTTGAAGGGGAAGATATAGTAATAATAATGAGACAGAATAACACTATGACAAAAAGGAATGAGCCGACAAAAAGTGAATCCGCATTAAAATTAAATAATAGAATAAAATCAAACAAGGCGAGCAATAACCCGTTCAATGGATTGAACTTGGGTTTGGAACGGGGGAACAAGCAACACTCAGCCTCGATGGGGAAGAAGAAAAGAAGAATGGCAGGGAGTTTCCCGAGGATGTTTCAAACCACAATAAACCCAGTTTCAGCCTGAGGCTGCGGCGTCTCTAGCTGTCTGTCTGTATCGTAAAGTAACTAAACCAACCACATGACATGCCATCATCTTCATCGCTTCATCATCCAGTCTTCCCTCTTCCGGCCTTTTCCTTTTCTCCCTCCACGCCCTCCTCTCTCTACACTTTCTCCCCGTAAACCATCTCCTTCCAGATCGCCCATCATGCGAATCCGATACCCTTTCGCGGGTATGTCTTTTCCCCCCGATCTTCCCCATCCATTGAGCTCTTCCCATCCGTTTCCAACCCTCTTCCGAAGCCAAAAGTGAAGCTCTATGATACCTAATCATCCGATTACATCAAGAGCTTCACCAGCTTCCCACACCACACCAACTAATACCATAAATACCACCATAGTCTGTACCACTAACAACATTCTCACCAGGCGCCTTTCTTTTCCTCCTCATCCTCGCCGCCTACATCGGTCTCCTCCCGCACAGCACATCATCCACTCTTCCGTCCCAACTCCAACCCAATGACAAGTTCCTCCATGTCGTCACCTTCTTCCTCCTCTCCCTCGTCTTCTACTGGATCTTCGACACCACCCGTCGTCGCACCCTCCACCTAACCCTCATCGTCTGCACTCTCGTCCTCGGCATCGGCTCCGAAATCATCCAAGGTCTCCTCCCCAACGGCAGGTCCTTCGATTTCTTTGACCTCCTCGCCAACATTGTCGGCAGTCTCGGCGCCGTCGGCCTTTGCGGCTGGTACCACCGGCGCATGCTTGACCGGCGACGCAAGGCGCGCTTCGGCTCCCTGGGCGGCGACGGCACAGAGAATGATGTCGAGCTCGGAGTGACGGGCCACCACAGCGACGAGGAGGAGGGTCTTGGACCCCAGGAGACAGGTGTTATGAGTCTAGAGCAGGAGGTAGATAACTGGGATGAGAATGCTGTTGATAATTGGGATGAGGAGGACGAGTCTGGAGATTTGGCCGTCGATACCTCCAAGAGGACGTCGCCCGCTGAAGATGGGAAGAAGCGGAGTGATTAAGTCGCAATCTAGCTAGCTAGCTAGCTAGCTAGATCTATGGCTCTTGCGCCTTAGCTAGCTATCTACTACCCATCTATCATGCCTTCCACGTCTCTTGGACTGTGAACTCCGCTTCATCCAGCAGAATGGCATCGCTGCCCACCATGTGATTGCGACGTATACGCTCACTCGGCGTTGATGCATTCTCTACCACACCACCACCACCTTGTCGCTCTCTACCACGCTTACCACGCACTCCCTATTTGCTGATCGCCCCTCCGCGACACCCCGATATAATCCCAACCCATCCTCCATATGATAGGGAAGACTATTCGTACCCCGCCCGCTTCGACGATTGCTACGTTACGCAGAAAAGAATGGCAACGAAACGAAAGGAAAAAGGAAAAAGTTACCATACCTATCTATCTATTTACTCACCTACTACTACTCTCGCTACGACCGTGTCATGACCCGACCCGTTATCTACCGGCGTTTTGAGTTGATCCGTTACATTCTGTTCTGTGTTTCTTATTTCTCTATATCTTCCGCGTCTCTCCTCTACGAACCCTGCCTATCTAGCTATCTCTATTCTTATTACTCCTCCTGGTTCTGGTTCTGGTTTTTGCTCTATAAACCCTCCGAGGGAATTATGATGTACATAGGATAACAGAGATGAGGAGGGTGGGAGTTTTGTTTCCGTTTAATAGTATAAGAACGCTATGATTTATATTGAGTGATTGATTGCTTAGGTGGTAGGTAGTATTCTGGTAGGGTGTGTAAGAGAGGACCTTTCTTTCAGGGCACGTGTATGAATAGATGCATCGTTATTCATTTCCAGGCAGATCCACAAGTCCAGTATGGTACACCAGTTCTAATGCTAGGGGGGAAACAGAATGAAAGCTGAAAAGAGATAATCGCGTGGGAGTAAGCAAATCAGCTTCGGATGACAATGCCCAGGACGGTTCGCTTGTGAAAATGTAAGCATCCTGGGCACTGAAGGAATAAAAGCATCAGGTCGTATACTGAAACATAGTATGCAGGGTGGCGCAAAGGGCAAAGAATGCATGTTGAAGATGCAGGTCAGAACTCGTAACTAGTCATGGCAAATAGAAAAAACGACAAACATGGCAAAAGACAAACATCAATAGGCGATTAGAATGTTATATATGTACGAGGGAAGGTAATATAATAATGTTGTCTGAGACGGGAACCGGTCGTCCCTAGCCTCATTCGTTATCGGAAACCTCGGGGGTGCCCGACCAGCTCCGGGTAGGAGTAGATCGGTGATCTTCAGCAGGTTCGAGCTCAGGTTTGGAGGATGGTCGGTAGCTGTCGTCGGTTGACAACTTGGCCATCTTCGTTGATCTCTCATCCGACTTGCGCCCGCTGGGCACGGCAGTCTTTCCGAGCTTGAGATCGGTCTGCTCCCGTAGGACTTCATATATAAACTGGAGTTGCATCTCATTATAGACCATCATCATTCGCTGCTCGCGCATTTGGTTGACTGTGTCGAAGACAGGGTCGATGTCGGGGTCAGTCGCCTCTAGTAACTGGCCGGACTCGAGCTCCTGCAAAAGATGGTCCAGCGCGATAAACGTGCCTGTCCGGCCGACACCAGCACTGCAGTGCACAATGCGGGGGTTAGCAGGGGTGCATTTCGAACCGGACAGTTTAATCAACTGAAGGAGCGCATCGCGGTCATCGCCCTCGGGCTTGGAATAGTCCGCCCAACCGGCGAACAGAAAATGCCAGACAATCTTCGACTCGGTGCCGAGGGTGAGTCGAAGTTTGCGGATTTCCGAGCGAGATGTGGGATCCCATTGAGTCTCGAGCAGTGTAACATAGCCTAGAAGGTCCTCATCGGCTTGCTGGTGATGGTTGTCGTTCATGAACGGGTCTTCCTCACGTCGCAGGGGCATCGTGGCGTTTTCGCGGTCCAGTGGGAAGTACTGGGCACATTTCTCTCTGCCCGCCTCAAATGTCTGCGTGAGCATGACGATGACGCCTACATCCTCACTTTCATGGAACACCATGTGCCAAAAGTGGGATAGCTGGTCCGGCTTCGGTCCCTACATAGCAGCGGATTAGCAACTATCCTTCAACCCTCGGCAGAATATATGCGCCCACCTGCGTCGCGATATACCGTCGCTCCTCCTGCGAGACTGAGTCTTCGAGGACAATCGGCGATGCGTTAATAAAATCGCATTCCCCTTCTGGCACCCGCAGATGGATGCGGGAGTTGGCCCATGCCTGCACGTTCATGTATCGGTTTCTTGCCCTGACCTCGGGGTCTCCCTCTAGCGCCCAACGGTGTGAGGGGTCGTTGGCTAGCATCCCCTCGTGTATCCGAGTCCGCTGCATCCATTCGAGTTCCTCGAATTTTTGATGGATTTCTATCACAAGAAAGATATATTAGTCAGGCTGTAGGCAATATTTAGAGAGGTGCAACGCCTTCAACTGCGCCCGAAACGACTGGGAGACCCAGAAGCAGCAAGCGGGGTGAAGTGCCAGGCGGGCGCATACTGACCTAGGACTGACTGGCAGAGAAATGGAGGAACAGATTCATTATCGCGCGCTTCCAGGCCAGGATCGTCGTTCTCCGGACCATCTATAATCTCGAAGCCATCGTCATTATCCTCGGGAAGCGACCGCTTGGTCGCTTGTACGCTGGTATCGATCTTGATGGTGGGATGAGCCATCTTGGCCGCAGCGATCCTCTGGAAGGCCCGAACCTTGCCCAGGACGCCGCGCGCCTTCTTCGAGACCCGCTTCTTAGTCGCTGCGAGTTTTCGGGGACCGCTGCGTAGACTGAAGGTATCGGGGGAGGGCGAGCGGGAGGTTGGGGCAGTGATGACTTCCCCCTCGATGCCGTCGGGCGGATCCTCGTGCGCGCCGTTGGGGGGATGCGGCAGGGATGATATCTGTAGCGTGGACAGATCGGGACAGCTGTGGAAGCTGCCCCTCGACGTAATATTATGCTTGGCCAGATTTCTGGATCTCACGGGAACAACGCGCGGCCGAATAGGAAGACTGCCTGGCAGTCGATAATATGGAAGATGACTCGGCCGGCAGACAAGACCCGACAGCCAACTTCTTCGTGCAGCCCACAACCCCTGCAACGTGTAGGACAAGAAGAAAAATTGGGTGATTTTTAGAGAAAGAAAAAAAATATGGACCAACAGGGAGAACCACCGGGTCAGTGACAATGAAGCAATAACCTCGTCAACGAAATGCGACCCGGGGGAAACAGCAGGCGAGAGGGTCCGGCCAGCAGCAGGAAAAGAAGGAGAGTATTTGATGCAAGACCCCCTCGCGACACCGTTTGGCAATTGCTGTTCTCCCCGCACTCTCTCGTCTTCCTGTTGTCTTTTAACCTCAGGACGTGGCCAGCAGTCCAATCAGTCGAGTCATTAAAAAGATTAGAATAATGAGGTTATTAAGGAGAGTGGGTTTGGACTAATAGAATAAGTATGGGTTATACAAGGAAGAGAAAAGAAGCAGAATTGGGCAGCCAAGACAAAAAAAAAATATTATAAAAGGAGATGTTTCTCTGGCAGGTTGGCAGAGTTTGTATGTATCGAACAAGAAGAGATCCTTCTCATTCCTGGTAATTTTCTTTTTCTTCTGATTTATTCGGGGTCCAGACGGAGTATGGATCCCTTCAGGAGATAATTAGTATTATTATTATCAGTTTTATTACTACTACTGCGCATTACGACGACTTCCATGCTTTAGTTAAGGGTTGGGGGATGGCAAAACAATGATGTAATTCAGGAGAGCGTCTCAGGAACAGATAGTACAAGAGCACTTGCATTCACCATTCAGAGCCATGCTCCGTCCGAGGCATGATTCAGATTTCCAGCGGTGCCTTGAGATCTTCATCCAACCGGCCATCGTCAGCCATGATGGTCGGCCTCAGGCGGTCGATCCATCCACTTTCCATCCCTTTAATCCGCCCGGATCATCGCTTTCTCCGAGACACTTTGCCGCGGGCGGAGTATCATGTCCTTTACCTCTGATTGGTGGAACGCCGTGTTGTGTCACCAGCCTCAGGCTCAACTCAGTTGGTGGCTGGACCTCACCTGTCACCTTTTTTCGCTCTTCAAGGGTGAGACCACGCGTTTTTTCTTCCTTTCGCTTCTCACCAGCCCCCCACGGTGCGCTGGCTTCATCCCTTTTGCACTCAAGCTTTAGTCTAGCTTGTGTTGCCACGGATCCCACCTGATCTACGTAGTCCACACCGAAGATGTTTCGGGCGTTTCTCAAAAGCGCATTTCTGCTACGGCCTCTCGAGGTGTGTATGAGGCACTTGTGTCTGGACTCTCGCGCACAACCCTCCATACTAACAGTCTTCTTCATACAGGAATGGCTTACCTCTAGGGTAGGTGTATGATCATGTCTAATCCTTGAGCTTGATGCTCATGTTGCCACGTATAGCTGCTGGCCAGCCGGTCGTTTCATAAATTGGTTGGGGGAATTCACCGCAAGGTTCATCACCTGAAGACGGGTGTCCCATTGGAAGACGTCCATGGCCCTGACTCTGGAAAGTCTGGTATGAACTTCGCCCATACCGTGAACCGGTCATGGTAGCTGTGTAGTATCATTTGATACTAACCTGCCCCTCACTCTAGCTTCGAAGTTGAGCCAATTCTTCGAGTACTTCAGAGAAGAATTGAAGGACCAGATGAAAGGGAATCCCCGCAACAAGCATTGATGAGAAGGTGAAGTTTCTTTCATCCGGGCATTTGTGACTGCCCTGCTTTTTATGACTTGTGATACCCATCAATATTCATATACTCCGTTATTTTCTGTTTCTCTGTTGTTCGTGCTTGTCCATCCTGATCTGTCTAATATACCGTCTGGTATACCGGATACAGATTGGGCTGTAGCTCTTCTGCACCATGAGCTACATCCCTCATTCCATCCGGAGAACGATTACCATTGCTTCATCCGCTTTGCCTAACCGTGTATCTTTGGACTGTTGGGTTGGGCCTTGAAATGTCGAAGCCTACATATATAGTCTCAAAGAGAGTCGAACGTAACCGAATATCAAACAATTAGTTAACAAATCCATCGCTTATATCATCCGAGCCTTCCAGGCAGAACCGATCTTATCCCTTGGTCATAGCCGGCCATGGCTGGGCACGACTAAAACCTTATCCCCCATGTGATGTGTACAATATCGGGAAATCCGGATGGCAGGACCTGTATGTTGCAAGGGCCGATTCCCAGGGACTCCCCGGCACGAGTGTGTGTGTGTGTCCTCGCTGCCAGGGCTACTTTATTCTTTGCGTAACCTGCATATGCAGGCGAGGTGTTACTTGTGCGACCACAGAATACAGAGGATGTGAAATACGTACATACTACAGACGCAAACACCTACGTAACCTAACCTCGTCGAAATATCCCCATCTGAGTCAATGCACATTTTCATAACTGATTACATACCAGGTAGACAGACAACTAATGCAAGCGAAGCAAAAGGAATGATAACGAACGCCATGACTAACCCCGATCACTAAGCAGGCAGGAGAAAAGCAAGCGAGATCACTCATCCTTGCCACGCGATCAACTGGCGGACGGAGTGGCTGCAGAGACCCGAATCGACCCGTAATAATCTCTACCTCCTACTGGGGAGGGAGGGTATGATGGGGAACGGTCTAGGCACACGCACTATTGAGGAGATATACGTAACCTCGATGAGTACACACACACACACACATTGGAACCCTTCGAGACCAAGACCCCTCTAACAAGTCGTCAACCCCACGGTATGTTAATTAACAGAAATATGGAGTCTAATGAGAACAACGTTCCAGAGCGCCGTGTCATGTCTAATGAGGGGTAGTTGTCTAGTATGAGTGGCCAGCTGGGTACTGTGTAATTAGCAGAGAGGAATCTAGAACCGTCAGATGCTGCCGATCACCCGACTCGAACTCGAAAGTGGCTAGCTAGCTAGCTAACCCTCTCATTCACCGTGAGAGAGAAGATAATTATTAACTAGTCTTATGGAGAGCAGTAATCAAAGTATTATTATGAAAGTGTCGGGTGGCACCCAGACTAAGGTTTATGAAGGATGAATCATTTACGAACAAGACCAGTTTGACCCTTAAGATGCAGGGTCTTTGGGGCTTAGTGATAACGCTACGGGGAAGTACCACTAAGCCCCGTTGGTATTGCCATAAGGAAAGACAGCTCAGCAAAAAACGCTGTGGGAACGGAGTCACCGGCCCAATTGCCGCCCTGGCGTCCATTAAGCGGGCAGCTGCTGCAGTCGGGTGAGCCGGCACACGTCGATGGCCATGTTTGGAAAGATGGAAAGATTTTGTTCTTTCGGAATGAAACACGTGAGAGAGAATGTACGTATGTCCGTATTCCCAGGAAGACACCGAGGATGTGGGTGCTCGGAAACTACAGAAATTTCTTTTCTTCTTCCTTATTTTGCTGTCGAACCGGAGCCACGCGGATACAATGAAAGGGACCACCCAACAGCAAGAAGCATAAAAATTGATAGAATATACACATATCCAGTCATCATAGTAAAATTGTGGATTATTATTGTTGATTCGGTGTTGTTGTTTGTTGGTTGGTGCCGAATCTTAGGTAATTCCTCCCAAGGAACAAAGTTGTTTTCTATGGTACGGTCATTAACCGGTACCCAAAGTCCCATGGTACATGCCTTAAAATAGCAACGTGTGTACCAGAATTACTCTAATGGATTTTGGAACTCATTAATTTTGTAAGATCGCTTTGTGATCTACCATACTATAGACTTGCTTGCTCCTCACTCTAGCCGACCAACCCGGAGCACTACTGCTCAGGTACCTCACTAGGAGATCAGAGTGGGATCGGGACGACCCAGAAAGCACCGTATTGGGCATAGTAGTCCGAGACAAGGGCCGTGACAGCCAACGGGCAGAAAAAGAAGAATACCCATAGTATCCATAATACTCAGTACCAAATACTGGGCGGAAAGTCAGGCGCCCCAAAAATGCAAGAACAAAACACTAAAAAAAACACTAAAAAAACACAAAACGAGGGGCGCCCCTGTGCAGAACTGTCTCAACTGGCAGCCGCTGACTGGCTGGCATGTTCTTTAGCGCCGACGCTAGAGAGCGCCGACTCCTGGACACGACGCTGGGATTGGTGTTGCGCAGCCAAAAGTCCCGTTGGTGGCTCCCCCCAATTGAGCCGGCCAGTGCCCTTCCACCATCCCGTTCCCTTCGTCTCCCTCTTTCTCCGTCTCTCTTTCATCTCCAGTCCCTTTTCATCTCCATCCCGCCTCCTTACGCTCTTTCCTGTCTTCTTACCACACACACCAGCACACCCAACTCTATATCTGCAGTCACTCGTTAACCCCTCCTTGTGAATCATATCTTCCGACAGCCTCTTTTTGTCCTCCTGCTGTCCCCCCGATTCTTAACCCTCCAAACGATCGTTTCTCACCATTTGGGCACCCCCGTGTCGCGTTGGAATTGTAATCTCGCCTCCCCGGTGTCGGTTCTCTTCACTGCCCTCCTGCCTCATCCGTGTTGGCGCTGGAAGCCTCGAAAGAACGCCTTGAATACCCCGAGTCCGACTGATCGATCTCTTCCGACGTGCCCATCATGCGAGCCGCTCGTCTCTCGTTCCTCCTCTACTCCCTGTCCCTCGTGGCTGTCGTCGCTGGCCAGAGCGCTGCAGTCACGAGTGTAGGCAACGCCGTCACCTCTGCCGCTGCTGCCGCTACCACAGAGGCCCCTTCTACCACATCTAGTGAATCATCCTCGACGTCTGAGTCCTCTACCTCGACTTCGGAGAGCTCTTCGACCACCAGTGAACCTACAACTACGTCGACTACTTCGGAAGAGACCACTTCCACGACCAACAAGCAACCCCAACAAACCACCCAGCCGCAACAGACAACATCATCCAACAACAACAACAATGCGCAGACAACTGCAGTCACTACAACAGACAAGAACGGCAAGACCACCGTCGAAAGCACTACCCAGCAGACCACCGCAACCCCGGTTGTGCAGACGGTCACGACTATCGAGACCATCAGTGGAACCCCCGTCCAAACCACTCTCACCACTACTTCGACTCCCGCCAGTGCTGACTCCACGGGCAGTCCTGGTCTGAGCGGCACTTCGTCTGATAACTCTAACAGCAGCTCTGGTCTCTCGTCCTCTCAGAAGAAGATCATTATCGGTGTCGTGGTCGGCGTGGGTGGTGCAATCATCGTCGGTGCCCTTGCCGTTGTTGGCTGGAGGATCCACGCTCGCAAGGCTGCGCAAGACAACGACGAGGCTGCTGATCTCATGAGCGGCACGGCAGTCGGTGCGGGTGCTCGCGAGAAGGCACCCAGCCCTGGTGCTGGTGGCACGCCCTTCAAGACCACGCTTGACCAGTATCACAACCCTGGACCTGTCAACGCTGCATCAAACTTCTAAGCCAACCCGGCGTTCTTGTCTATGATACGAACACACCACCCTTTTCCTATGTTTATCCTGCGGTAACGAACAGGGAAGGCATATGTTCTGGTCTGATACCGTTCTTGAGACTGTAAATTTGTACGATTATGACGCAGTTATTGTTGGCGCTTGTGGAGAGGAAATCCTCTGATTTGTTGTTTCTTCACTGCTATCTTGGGTTGTTTGCTTTGCATTCAAGAAGCTACCGCTCTTTTCTCGCTCTGATAGACCATACGTCGGGTCTTTACCGATATCACGCTCCTTTTACTTAGCACAGCGATTTTGTCCTAGCATTTATGGTTGGTCGATTTAGTTTGATTCCCCCCTCGAGCATTTGATTTCTTTTCTGGCGGAGCGGTGAACGGCAAACTGTCCCGTCTCTGTCTCTGCTGTGGATTGCAGATCCCCGACCTCAGCCTTCAAAAGCTTTCGATTGTATGTATTTAATCAAAAAAATGACTTGAGAAGGATTTCTGCGGTAATTGTACTGTCAATGATGTCATGGCAGTTTTGCTAGATTAGATACGCTGCATATGTGTAGTTACCTATTTACTATGCAGGTCATACATCGTAGCGTCTGATGGTTCAAGCCTTCTCACCATGTTTAATACAGACGACCTCGGTAGGAAATAGCACAATCACTGACATGTCTTGGTCCACACTATATGCCGGTAGTGAACAGTGCGCCAGGAACATGCGATCCTGCAAGGTGAGTTTATCGTCAACTTGCATTATCTAAAGCCGATCCCGGTCTATCCCTCTCTCACCCACACACAACACCATTGAGCAACATCTCTACCTCTATATCGTAACCACTCAGAATTAGGAGTATGAGCGATCAGAAACCCCAACACCTAGTTCTCGATCTACGACGACACTAGTGGCACAACAGCAAGATCAGATATAGAACCTTCGGAATATATCTGTCATGATAATGTACGATGCAAAAGACCGCATAATCATATTGTCCGTTTACATATGATGCGTCGCACAGCGGAGGGGTCAAAGGTGCCGTGGTGCCTGACAGCCTGAGGAATGTTATATATCCCGAAGGAGACTAGTGAGCACGTGGCGTCGTGTCGGACGCGCTCGCGAATCCCTGCCGCCTTTCACGTTGTTTCGCCGCGGCCATTGCTGGTCCCTCCGGACAACCATCTCTACTATCAACTGGATAGATACGATTGAGTGGCAACTGTGGTTACCGAAAAGCTAAGCTACTTCTGTCTTTGTCGTATGAGTGACGAGGAAACCAATTCTATACTCGCAACGATATCTTCACTACCTCCACGCGTTACGAATTGACATACCCTTCTATCCACCCATCCGGCTGAATCGCATTACTTCAATCAATCAACTACAGACATTCACCATGATGTTCGCTCCCCTCCCAATGCAACAACAACCAGGGTCATCACCACCACCACCTCAACAGCAGCACCAACAATACACACCTACCCGACCATCTCCCCTCTCACCACGCCGCCTCACAAACACCCCCTCAGCAGCACCCAACATCTTCGCCGCCACCTCCAACAACACCCAATTCAACATCCCCTCCAGCCCCTTCACACTTCCAACACCCACGAAACTCCCCTCCATATCGGCATCAGCACCACCATCCCCGACGCCACCACAGCAACAACAACAACAATCACACCACCAATTCGCAAGAAGACAAAGAAACATCCAATCTTCCCCCAACTATGCCCACCGCTACGCCAACACCATCTCCAACCCCATGACCAAGCACTTAAAATCAAGCGCGTCTCCCTCGGCACGCCGGAATGTGTTTCTAAATCGCGTGAAGCGGGATCGAGATGATGGGCGGTTTGGGGATCGCGGCGAGCAGTTGGTGCTTATGGAGCATGTGGCGGAGGAGAAGAGGTGGGGGGAGGTGATGAGGCGGAGGGCGGAGGAGATGATGGGTGTTGTAGAGGAAGAAGAGGAAGAGGGGTATGCCAATGGATATGGTATGTTCGACAGCTTCCTTGTCTGAGACGTCCTGTGATGAGGTGACGACGCTAACGATTGCTCGCTCAGATGATGTAGACGCATATGCTCTAGACGAGTACTTGCAAGAACAAGCGGCCGAAATGGAACGGTTGGAGTACTTGAACCAGCAGCCACAGCCACAGCAGCAGCAGCACGGAGTGTTTGATTCGGGTGGTCCTGCTGGTAGAGGTAATGGTGGGATGAACACCTCATTCAGCGATGAAGAGGAATACGATGATCTGTTTATGGATCTAGCGGGGCATGATGGTGGTCCCGGTATCTCTGGGTCAAGTGGGGGATTTGCTCATAGTCAGGATATGGATATGTCGTGATTGTTGCCTTATCTGTGCGTGTGTCTTGGTTGTGGATATGGGAGTGTCTTGTCGCGGGTCGATGGGACTTTTGTCACTACTAGTATCACGTTAGTTGTTACGGACAGGGCAAAAGCATGGTCTGGTCTGGTTTGATATGGTCTGGCGTTGAATGAGGTACATGGATTGGGTCTATAATGATATAGGGTACTACTACCTACCCACCCATCCGGTTATTAAGACAGTAGTAATTAGCAAATTATTCAGTATAGTCATTTTCCGGATAGTAACCTAGTCTATCCATATATTTAATATCCTGTGTTCTGCATAGCACGTAGATGTGCCACTGCTTACTTGAAGTGTTGGTAAGCTACTACTATATGCATATACTCTAACAAACTATCCTCATAGGGGTTTTCCATCCCTAATTTCAAGACGGCCATTCGCCCATTGAAAAAACCACCAAGCCTAATGGATCAGGACCTAGGTTCCCGCCCGATAGTATGTTTAGTACTCGTTCCGTTCCCGTCTCTGACATCCCTTATCCCCCACAACCCCAACCTCCACCCGCCCAGTACTCAAAAGCACGATATCATTACCTACTATCGTCCAAGCTCCCTCAACCACTTCTATAATAAGTTTTGGCTTATATAAATTAGAGAATATTCCTTCGTCCTAATCAGGACAAGCTGGACTCACCTTGAGGTATCAGAATCAGATTACTATAATCCTCCGAGTGATCGGATACCTTCGAAGCCAATTATTACTCACAAACCCTTCACCTCAACTTACTCTTGCAAAGAGTTGTTGGTTGGCTAGTCGTTGCTTCAACCCTTTCCTAACAAAGAAGAAACACGGAAGATCATTTCTCCTTCTCCTCCTCTGATTAATGGCATCCCTTGATTGAATCCGAATCCAAGAACTTCTTCATTCTCTTTCAAGTATCAAAGAAGCCAGCAAACATTCACCATATAATCCCATCATCATCATCATTAACATCCCTTCCAAAGCGAACTTCGCCCACTCATCATGGACGCCTCAACCACAGCCGATATCCGCGACCGCATTCTCCACCAAATCCGAGGGATTCGCTTCGACTTCCTCCAAGAGTCTTCAGACACAGGCCCCGATGCGAATACTCGGCGATACTCCAAATAGCATACTCGATCCTAAAGATTATTTGACATCTATACGCCCATTTGTCACAGAAATCCAGAATTGCGTCCATGAATATAACTCTAATATCAAGACTTGTTTCATTGCAGTCAACATTTACCCTGGCAAGCACTCCTCCTACTTTGTGGTCGACCTTAATAATACCGAGTATGACTATCAGAACTGCTCACGAATGCAAGACATCAGTTGGTACCCGTTTATATCCTACGCCTATCAAAAAATAAACCCTAGGATTTTCAGAAAACGGGAGCTGGATGGACAACTTGCTGAGACTCTTAGGATCATGCATAATGGTCACGGTCAAGATCCTCTCCCGTTGGTTGATGATTATGGTGATCCGAATAGACAATACAGTAACCCTCGAAGTCTCAAACGTTGATGTTGTCCAGTTGTTCAGATTTGCCGCATTGACGATGCTGTCACGGGGGTCTGATGCATCTGTTGATGGTAATACTGTATGTAGTCAGCAGTAACATCTAACTAGTAGTTGGTTCTGCTCTATTGGGTTTATGACTATGCGTCTTGGCCCTGGGGTTGGGAGACTGAGGTTTGGAAGTACCATATTAGGTGGTGAAGCTGTTTTCCAACAGGTTCTGCACTACAATAATAGACATTGAGTCCGGGTCAACAGGAATACTATCCATCAGGCCCAAGCGTGTATATATATATATTAGAATTCTACTACTACTACTACTCATCATTGCTGCGGACAATCAGGCATACCACCCGCGCCGGCACCACCACCCGGACCCTTGAGATCCTCCATCCAAGGAGCAGAAATCAGCTCATCAGGCGGGTTACCCGCAGCTTGCATCTAGACCCCGAGTTAGTACTGAACAGCACGACAAATGATCGCAATGGGAAGGACTTACCTCCTGCATCTTCTCCCACACGTACTCCCTACACTTCGGATCCTCATCCGAATACCCCTTCTCCTCAAACTTACTCACAATCTGCCTGACCACCCCAGCCTGCTTCTCATACCTCGCCATATCCTCATCTGACACCTTCCCCTTGCCCTTATTCTCCTTGATCCACGGCCCGAACTTCGTATCAAGCTCCTTGATCGGCTCGTACAAGATCTCCTTATTCGACAATTGCTCCATCATGCCCATGAACATCTTTGTCAGATCCCCCTCGTCGCCACCTTCGCCTGACGATGCCCCCGCCTCGATCGCCTTGATGAGTTGCGCTACCAGATCATCCGACATGTCGTCCTCCGAGGCTGCCGCTGTGGCTTTGTCGCCGGATTCTTTCATCCGTTCGATTGTGCGCTGGATGGTGTCATTGAAGGTTTCAGGTGCTGCGGTGCCACTTGTTGATGGCGTTGATGATGCTGCTGGTGCTGGTGCTGCTGAAGAGCCCGCGGTGGCGGCCGTAGTGCTGTTATCGTCGTCGCCTTTCATCATGACGTCTCCGACGAGCTGTTTCAGAAAATCGGACGGCGAGACTCCGCTTTCCTCAAGGATCTTGGCGAATGCCTCGGCGTCTTTGTCGAGGCCGCCGTCGTTGGTATCGGTGGCGCCAGCCGCAGCCGCAGCCGCAGCAGCGTCGTTGCTGGCGCCGCCACCACCGCCCATCATACTCGCCATATCTTGTTCGAGTTGGCGGAGGAAGGCCTCCTCGTCAAAGTCATCGGGGGCAGATGGTTGTGCGGCATCGGGTTTAGCAGGGGCGGGGGATGGTTTGGGTTTGAAGTCGTCAAGGACCTCTGTTATATCACATTGTTTGTTAGTTGAGAATATATATAGGGATTGAAGAGAAAGAGTATGTGGAATTACCATCTAAGTCATCAAATTCCGATTCGTCGTCATCGTCATCGTCATCGTTGTTGTTCGTGCGCTGTTGTTGCGCGGGGTTCTCTGCTGAGGAGGGGGCATTATTCGGGGCAGTTGTCGTGGCGGACTTCTTCTGATCATCCGCAGAAACCTTTTGGGGAATCTGTGTGGGAGCAGCAGGATTCTCAGACTGGGGGGTTGCGCCAATGTTGGCGGAGGGAGCCGATGAGGAGGCCATGGCTGATGATCGCAATAGCCGAGGGGGGAGGAAATTGGGGGGAAAGAGGGGAAATGATGCGGCGGATTCAAGTTGCAGTTGCTGGGTTGCGACGGGCGGAGGCGGATTGCATCGGCGCGCAGATGAGCCCCTTGTGTTGTTCCTTTTCAAAGATGCAGGGGACAGAAAGTCTGACAGGCGGGATTAGATCAGATGGGGTGGATGATGATGGAGAGCTGAGGATGTAGTTCTTTTTTTTTTTCGGTCTTCATGTGAAAAAAGAAACGAAGGGAATGAATAATCAGTCAGTCCATCTTTTTGGTAGTGGGGGAAGAGCCGATTGAAAGCCGATCGCCGCGGTTAATTCTTTTTGTTTTCTCGGAGTTGCGCTCAGGGGATGGTGGATGGGGGATGGAAGGATGGCATTCATTCTTTGGAGTAATTGTATTAACATTTGGAATTGTAACGAACGGATGTGATTTTGTATAGGGGTAGAGTGAAAGAAAGAGTATAGAGTCGAGCAGTAGGGGGAGGTGACTGAGTATAGTTAGGAAAGACCTGGGAATGACATCAGGGTCCAGGCGCTGTCACCGGCAGATCTGATGGAGATTTGGCTAGTTGACATGTTCGAACAACTAACTCGGTCTGGATTCAGATTTACTCCGATGGAGATACGTTCTATTTTACGGAGTACAGAAGTGCTACACTCTCTCCATTCTGATATTCATCTTCCAAACACAGCAACAGCAGTAGCAGCAGCAGCGACAACAAATCCAAGTCTGCCAAGAAGGATCTGGTCAATAGTTGCTGCTGCTCATCGGTAGTCGCCGCAAGTCCACCCAGCAACAGCAACAGGTACGGGCACTGGAATTCCTTCCGATCAGCCCATCATCCTCAGATGATCCCGTGGCGGATCCTCGTGATGTCAAGTCACAGTCACTTTGCCTTTTCTTCCTTTGAGGCGGAGTTTCGGAGCGACGTACGATGACGGGACATAGGCGAGGCCATGGAGGTGGTTGGCTGGCGGAGATCTCCTTCATCGGCAGTCTCCTACTAGGCACCTACTACCATGTATATCCCACAAGGAGTAGTAGTATTAAACCGAGTAAGTCATAGTGTCTTCTGTCTAGTCTGGCTGTCCTGCAGGTACATCCTGGATTAGTTGGTTGGTTTGCGTTGAGGGGGAATGGAAACCGGAATTTCGGCTGTCGGATCAGGTGCTCTCATTGTATACTCAAAGCATACAGAAAGAGGAGGTCTCTTCTAGTCCGACTGTTCTATAAGCAGACATGCCAAGGACTGTCATCCAAATGGTTATCCTCGGGATTCCGAACAGACCAGACAGATCAGACTATCTTATGTAGTGTAGTATCCAAGACCCTGAGAAATTTCAGGGAGGATGAGAAAGGCAATTTAGTCGAGATGGATTCGTGGTACCGTATGGTCATCATGCCGTATTATGCCCCCAAATAGCCACTGGTCACGGGGTCAGAGACGAAACTTTGCCGTATTCATCTTGTCCCGTTTGGGTCTGGTCTGGCTGGATCTGCGTGATTTTCTTCGCTGTTTCTTCCTCCTTCAAGGGTCCCGGGCATTTCCTACGACCTCTCTCGTGGAGTTAGACCAGAATTTTCTTGACTGTCGGATTACTTCCTGCCACGGTACTTAGACCGAGGTTCAATTAATCAATCAATCATAAACCCACCGCCTTCAATAGAATGAGGAGTCAAAAGAGGGTAGAAGGGGAAACCTGGTGTGTCCACGCAAGACCCCCGAGTTCGTACGACAGCAGGACAAGGAATCCGCCCCAGCTGAACCACGGAAAACCTTGTCTTGACCTGCCGGAACATCTCCGCGGCATGATGAAGATATTAACAACGTGCCCACCAGAAAGGGGCAGGGAAGTCTGCTCATGACTTGTCGATAGGAGAAAAGACAGGCATCTACTTTATCGCCTGCAATAGATACTACACAGTTCTGGTCCAGATTGAGCTAGCTGGAACCGACGCAACAATGGCATTGCTTTCAAGGTTGCTCGCATCCACACCCCCAGTAG